TAGCACTAGTCCCCCTTCAATCTTTATATTTAGAAGCGTCTTTGGGTGAGAAAGAAATTTTAAAATTAGGAGTTTTTTGTCAATTGGTTTGGTCCCAGTTTCTCCCGCCCCAAACAGGATTATTTCTAGAAATAAATATACGCATCGGATTAATCCAATTGCCCGGTATCAAAAAATTGGTAAATCTTATGTATTCGTTATTGTAAATCAAATATTCAATTTTAATTTTCTCCTCTATTCGGACAGAGTTGGGGTCATTACTCGGATTTTTAGAGGGCGAGGGAGCCGTGGTTATAGTATTAATTGAAAATTATCATTATTCTCGTCAAAAATGAAATTATTTCCTCTTTTTTCAGTGGCATCCTCCTCGTAAAAAGAAAAATTATATTGCTTGTTTTTGGTATCAATTAAAACTCTTTTTTTGTTGTCATTAATATCCATATATTCGTGTTTGTCTCCTACTTCGGTATTGTATTCAACAGTAATTTGCCGGTGAGTTTTATTATTATTAATTGGTGGTTGTTGTCCATTGCCACCTGGATTAATCGGTGGGTTGGGAGAATTATGGCCTAGCTTTTGGATTTGTTGTTCTATTGTTTCGACCTTTTGCTCTAATTCTTGTTTTTTGGCGGGGTCATTTTCGTTTTGTAATTGCTCGTTTAATTCTTGTAATTCTTTTTCTAATTTAACTCTTTGTTGGTCAACTTTGGTTTGGCTGGCTTTATTTTTGGCACCCATTTTTATTCCTAACCAAAAAATTCCTCCACCCAGAGCCACAACCAAACTACCTACCAGAATTATTTTTAAGATTTTTTTTCTTTTTGAGACTTTTGCCATTATTAAATATTTTTTTTCACTAATAGGGATAGTAATCAGCAACTTAGTCCTTTTTTTACTCACAATTTAGTCAGACAAAAAAGAAAGGAAAGTAAAAATAAGTAACAGAGCGAGGAAATTGTTATTTTCAAAAAAATTAAGTAAGACTTTGTCAAAAAAGAAATAATTGTCAACATTCAAAAGGGGTTAGATTTTGAGGGCGAACTTTCTCGGAGCAATCCTTTTCTATCCAGTATTTTTTTCATTCTTTTTCCCAATTTCCTGCTCAACTTAAAAGATTATTTAAGAGAGTTTTGCGACGAAAAACTCCTAATTTTAAAATTTCTTTCTCACCCAAAGACGCTTCTAAATATAAAGATTGAAGGGGGACTAGTGCTA